TCAGTTAATGAAATTCTTGTTAATTAATAAATAAAATTCTGTGTTTCTTGCAAAGCAACACACAGAAGCAACTGTATAATTAAAAAAAAATAAATTCTGAAAAAAGGTCTCTCTAATTTTACTTAATAAAAGTGAAGGGAATTATGAATGCTGATATTCTCTAACTTCATAAAAATAGGTCTCTTTAAATTTTCTTTTCTCTGCTTCTTTTTCTTGATGTAGAACTGGATTCTGCTAAATTAGTCATAGTGAAATAATATTTCCATGCTTTTCTAGCTGCATTCATTTTGGATATGGCTGAACAATAATGTATCTGAGTACTACACATAATTCATCCAAATAAAACTATTTCTAGTATTCCTCAGTAAGATATCTTTTAATCCTATGGACATAATGTCAAAGGTAACATTGCATTATTTGGTCTTTCTACTTTTAGAAACAGGTAGCAGGAAAATGTAAGACATTTATTTTTATTAGTGGAGTTACACATTCTCTGTAAAAACAAAGTATTAGATAGGGAAGATAAGCAGAGGAAAAAAGAGATAAGAATTTTTGCACCAATGAGTGTCTCTGTAGGACTTTCTGAGTTTCTCATATGTCTGAATGCTTATTGTATTTGAGTCAAGTTGACACTTCCAGAAAATGATGAGGTATGCATCTCCCATCTTGAAAACTCCATTTTGTATTTTAAAAGCATAAATCATTAGCTAGAATGGGTTAATTTGCAGCTGACATTCTCACTTGGCTGCATTTAAAGAGCAGTCTATGCTGCCCATTGAATTTATGAAAGGTTAGCTCAATGCTTTCAGATGTTCTTAGGATACTTATTATACTTCAAAACCTCATGAATCTCTAAAAACTGAAAAATCTGGGTGTTTTTGTTTTTGGGTTTTTTTTTTTTGTTTGGTTTGGGTTTTTTTTGGCTTTTTTTTTTTTTTTGGATTGTAGGGTTATGGTTTGTTTTGTTCTTTTTTAAATGGGGACTGGAGTTTAGTAATACAGTATTTCAATCCGCAAAGACTTGCTATTACAGGACAAAAAAAGTCTTTTTACTAACCTGTTAAATTGAAACACATGGATTCCTAGAACATTATTTTATCTTGCTCACTAACCATGGACTTTTATTGCCTGTTTAAACATTTATGGAATAATTTTATTGTGAATTTAAAAGCTGAGCATAGAAAGAAAATATAGATGGGAATATTCCTGCTTTTTCAATTCCACTGAATAAAGTATGCCAGCTCTTATGAATTAACTCTTGATTCCAAGCAGTGAAAGAGTTTGCCGTTGAGTTCTGCTTGTGTGAAATTCTCTTAGTAACCTTCAGACTAGAAGCAGCCTTTCTGGAAACACCTGTTTTTACGTCTTGAATGTTTCCTCTGTCTCCACTGCAAGCACGGCTCTCACTTTTAGCGTGCAACACTGAGTATGTTGCCATAAAGAGAATTCTTTTTGAACAAGGATGTCCTCAACTGCATTGTCAACGAAGAAAAGTGAGAGAAAAGATACTGAAGAAGCACCATGCTGAACTGGTATTAATTTCAACTATCAGCCGTTGGAAACATGTTTCTAGTCATAAAACTCCCTCTTAAATGTACAAAAGAGGCAAGGATCTCTATCAAAGACAATTATCCTGAAGTTAAGTGTCTGAAATTCAAAGTTGCATTGGCCCTTGAGCGTACCAGTGTGGTACCATGGTGGGAAGGTAATAGGTTATAAAGAAGTAAAGGCCAGAATGAAAAGTCCACAGCAGTAATGAGCAGTGCAATACCTACTGCTGTACAGCACTTGATTGTGACTGTGTTAGTCAACTAAAGAGAGCAGAAAGGTTAATTTAAATGAAAATAGCATTACTGGTTTAGGCTACAGCCAAAGAAACCCAAGGCTGAAAGTGGATAAGTATAGTCAAAACAAACAGTAGTCATAAAAAAATTATATAATTAAAAGATAGTGTCTGCCCAAAAGTAAAAATATAAACAGTTGAAATTATTCATGTGTATAAAAATTTCATAGCTATATTTAGAAACACCAGAGGATTTGATTAATTTAGGAAGAGAATTATGTATTGGAGGGACCTGTGATAAAATTGTATGACTAAGTTCTTTTACAGTTCTAAATTTATGATGGTTGAAGGTTGCAACTGTTTTTGTTGTTTTGGTATTAATGAGAAATAACCTCTGCTTCATTCTTCACACTTAGACAAATAAAGCAACTTCTCAAGTACTAAAGCAATGGTTACTAAACTTGTTTTGTTGTAGTTCAATAAGTTCAACTTCTTTTCATATCTGGAGGATTAAAATTCATTCTTAGATGCAACAATTTATTTTGGACGATATTGAACTACTTATCCATAAACTGTCTCAAAGGATCTCTAATTTGCTCATGCTGCAGTGAATGTAGGGTCCATAATTAAAACTTCAGCTAGTGAAAGAGTTTAAAGACAAAGTAAGATTTTCTCAACAGAGATTAGAGTGCCTATGTTGGAAGACAGATGTGCCCAAGGACAGCTTACTGGTGTTATGAAATGGTTACTTGATATGGAAAACAGGCCAACTTTGAGCAGGGAGTAGAACTGGGGAGTTCTCCCTTCCCAGGGCTAAATATATGGTATTGCTACTGTTCCATGTACATTTACTAGTTCTGCTGCATTCACTACCACTATCATTACCAGCACTATTATTTACTATTTACCAGTATTATTAATTTTGTGAGGTTGCCTTACTCACTAAAGCTTTTGTTATCTCTTAAGACTTTAAAATGAAGATGGATTATGTTGTTGTCCAACTTGTACTGCTATATTTCCAGAAGAATACTTGATATCAAATGTTTTGAACTGTATTCAAAAGTTCATTGCCTCTTCACAATATTTAAATATAATTTGCTTCTTTTCTCTTTCTGCTTGTCAGAATATTATGAACTATTCATCGGAGGTTTTGAGAGCAAATGGAGTGCTATAGCTTGCAACATACATATAGACTTTAAGAAAAACATATAATAATTTCTTTGTGTCTTTTTTCTACGCTTTATTCCTGTTAGGAAGCTAAGCAAAAAATTTCCCCTCGAAGATCAGTCAAAGGATGCCATTAAGGAAGACATTCTTTTATCGAATATACTTTTGAAGAATTCTGAGTGCCCGAATACCAGAAATTTCATCTTTTTCCCCTCCCAACAGCTATAACTATAGATATGCATTCTTCTGGAACTAAGTACTACTTGCTTACAAAAAAAACCCTCATGTTGGGAAAGTCATAGACATTCTCATTAAATCCTGATCTATCAATAAGAAAATGCTGTGTGATGTGTTTAGCTCATACCAGTCAATGTAATGGTCTCAATCTATGAACGAAAACAAGATTGATACCAGCTGCAGAGCTGTGGTTACCCCCGGAAGAGGTTTCTACTGGGCTTGGTCTCTGGTAATATTTTACCACATACAAATATAGCTGTGGCCTGCAGCTGGCCCACAGGACCCCATAATCTGAATCCTCCGATGTTCTCACTTCTTCAGTGCCCTTGAGGGCCACTAAAGCATGCAGAGTCAGAAGAAGCTTTTGCAATTTTGTCTTGAAGGTAAGCAAGCAGTACTTGCATGCCTGGCCTCTGACTGTGAATCAATGTGAAGCACTGTCTTGAATTAATTCAAGCTGCCTCCTGTCCAGCTGTGCCAAAGTAGCAAAGTCCTGGTGGCTGTCTGTACTCTATTTCTCCAGGAGCCAAAGAAATTACAAATGGCAGTAAGGTTTCATCATTACAGAAATAAATAGCTAAAAATTAAAAAAAATGTTTTCTCAACATTCTCAACATTAGCAAACTAATTTTGGTATTAACCCCCCTTGTACTTAGTCAATTTTCTAGCCACATGAAACGTTTTATGATTTTAAGCTCTGCTTCAAAAGACTATCTTTTATAGGGGTTCATATCCTGGCCTGTTTGTATTCCTTCCATATTGATGTTAATGGAAGCTGCAGGAAGGGATTGGATAGGTTTGAACTTTTTAAATTCTTTGGAGTAGAAGGTTTGCTCAGCTTTGCAAAGCTTAATAATGCCTTTGCTGTGGCATTACAAACTTTGCTCAGTGCAATCTTGATCTTTCTTGGCACAGGTGTCCTCTCAGAGACATCCAGTGAGAAAGGGTTTTTTTTTTGGCTGCCTGCATAGCAATAAAAGTCCATCACCATTTCAGTTTTGGATAGATTTTGGGCTCATCTGTTGTCACAGAATGAGGTGCTTATTTGGCATTACTTTTAAGTTATGTCAGGTCCTAATTACATCAGGTTCTTATTAGTGTCAAGCTTTGATGCCTAAGAATAACATAAAAATAGAGCAAATGTTGATTTTAAGTATGGTTTATTTAATAGACCTGTGTTTCAGTATTTGGATGTAAGGGAAAAAAAAAGGCACCAAATGACTGGCCATCTGTTGCTATGAAATGAATTGTGTCCTTATGGTTAAGTATCCTGCCTACCTGCACTGTCTCTGCTGTTCTGTCTTGTATCCACTCCATGACATAGACTGATGCCCAGCACAGTGGGGTCATGATGTGATGATGTGGCTGATATTTCATTTTAACTCTATTGTTGAAGTGTTGGGAACTTCATGCACAGGAGAAACAGACTCTTAGGATGCCAGAATAATATGCAGAACTCTTAGACCTGTTGTAGTTAACTTGTTCTGATATTGGTGATGTTTGCAATACAAATACCCTGCTTAGGCACTTTCTGTCTGGAGTGAAACGATGTGGCTGGAATGTGTTGAAAGCTCTTTTGATCAAGCACTATCTGTTTTGAATTTGTCTAGTGTAAAGGGAGTAAGCTTAGGGTCTGAAGCCATTACAAATAATGATGAAGAATGAGAAACTGAACGAGTAGCGGGGAAGGACTGTTAACTGGGACATAGAAAATTTTGTGACAACATGACACATTTGCATTATGGCATTTTTAGCAAAAACGTTACAGTACAAAAAAGAACTCTCTAAAAGAGTTGACCTAATACAAATGATATGAGGTTAGTCCACCATTATTATTATTTATTTCTTTTTATACTTGTAATAATTCAGGTGCTTTCCAGACAGAAAAGCTGCAGGCCCTGCCCCAAGGAGCTTACAGTCTAAAGGTGGACAAGGAGAGAGACGTGAAAGAGAGAGGGTCTACAGAGCAGTCAAGAGTCCAAGATGGAAACTAACCAATCAAATATGATTTGAACACATTGTTGCAAAGCTATACAAACTATTTTCCAATTACGACTCATATTTTCCATTTTCGTTTAACTGTATCTGCCATGACACAAACAGGTGTGGAGGAAGGAAGCTTTCAATTTGTGGCATCAGAGAGAGTAGCACAGGTGTAAAGTAGAGTTGGAAAACTCACCTTAAAGTATAGAGATGAGAGCGGTTTGCCTGGATTTCCAAGACACAGTTCAGTACCAGGACAATTTAGATCCAGAATGACATGGCTTTAGGTCAGATCCTACAGGTTTACATGGGATAGATTACATCAGAAATGTAAATTCACTCTATGCATCTGGAAGTTCCTTAATACATCCTAATATGAACTACAAAATCTGTCATGGCAGGGCTGGGGAAGTTAAGAATTAAATACAACACTTATGTGGTATATTCAGTGGGGGAAAGAATGGTGTTGAAAGCTGGGGGTGGTTATTCTTATGTCAGTTGTAAAATGAAATTTTTAATAATGTAGGACACCAGCTAATGATTAAAAAACCCCACAATGTTTAATTTTAAAAATACCGGTTTTAACTAAGACAGTAAGTCACTCATCAATTATGAAAAATACTATTAGATTTTCTTTACACATTTAGGTATCTATTAGAAAACACCCAATCAGGTTCCTCCAAACTGTAAAATTATCAAAGAAACTCCCTTAAGGCATGCCTTCTAAAACTTCTTAACAAATTGCCATATTTATTCAAGTACTCAGGGGAATCGTTGCTTGTTTATTCCTGAAGTGTCTTTCCCTTAGCAAATGCAAGTGTATTGTAAAGGCAGAAGCTAATAAGCAGCTGAATATTAAAGTGCATAGGTTGTCCACATGAGGAAAAATACGTAGTTGAAGAAGCAGTAGCTGGGGTGGTAAAGGATTCTTAGGGAGTAATCCATCATCAATTTTTAGTAAGCCACCAATATTTCTTTTTCTATAAGAAACATTTCTACAGTCTTCAAAACTTGCAAATGCATTTCTAACAATGGTATCAGACAGTCACACTCCTCTTGCTGTGAGGGAAAAGTTGTAATTAAATAATCAAATAGACCTATTTTTCATAATTTACAGGTATTCATATTCCTTCAATAAATAGAAGAATATAATTTATCTTCTGATTCTGTATAGATTTCAACACAAGTTTCTAGCACTTTAAACAAATTATTCTAATAGCTTGACATGAATTATGCTGGCAGGAGCCACATATGATTATTATGGTGCACAGAATCTTTTCAGAACCTACAAAGTTAAATAAAAGCCTACAAGTTTCTTAAGCTACTTTTTATTTGCATAGAAAAATATTTATCATAGGAGTCAACTATCATATGAGAGAAATTCCATTTGTTGTAATTGAAAAAGATAGCTAAAAAGTTTCTGTGGATTATTGCAACAGTACAAGAATACAAGATGCTTCCATTTATTAAAAAATGTAAAACAAATTGTGAAAGCTAAAGCAGGCTACAAAACAGAAGGTCCTCATATTTTCTTTCTCTTGACTACGTTACAAGATCATGTGCCACAGTTGAGTACTATAAAGTGTAATTCTGCATTAGCTAATATAATTCTTAAAACATTCCCCCCTAAAAGCACTATGCAAAATATATATATTTGTAAATGCTTCCTCCTGTAAGCATCACAACCTTGTTATCACATAGTCACCCTGAACAATTGTTTCCTGTTTCTCATCAGAGTCAATGCTAATGTCCAATGCCTTGTCCAGCTGATCCTGTGGAGTTGCAGGTTCTGAGTTTTGTAACTCCATTTTCTCTATTTCTGAAGGACAAATAGTTCCCTCTTCCTGTGAATCCAAAGACTCACTGGTATTTTGTGACTCAGCTAACACACATTTTTTGCCAGGATTTTGGAAGTTTAATTCACAGTTCATGATCAATTCTCTCTCTTCCAGTTCATCAGTTTTCTCACATTGTTCTTCTGCCTGTTGACGGGAAACTTCTTCAGAAACGGTGTATATTTTATTTGTACTCTGCTCCACAGAGTTTGTTTTTGATCGTCTGTGAAACAACCCAAAATTTTTTATGTCTGTTACAAAATTCACACGCTTTTGTTTCTCCTGAGTGGACTCTGACACCATCATTGCTGAGCCATTGCTTACATTATGTCCTTCAGATGCGATATTGGCTGATCGTGGGTGAATCATCGTTGTTATGTCAAAAAGGCTGAAGGGCTTTTTCTTTCCTTTCTTGTTTCCTTCACTCTCACTATTTTCTTCATTTTCTGACAGAGAGGCAGTGTCTTTGCTCATCTTTCCAGTCTGCAAATTAGACAGCTTGCTTCCTTTTAACAAACCCAGAACTTCAAAGCGAAAGCTGGAAATATCTTGTTTTAACTCCTAAAAATTACGGAAAAAAGATGAAATGTCAGAACATTAAAGCTCATTTGACTTTCCTTTTGAAATAAAAATTAAAAGAAAAAAACCAAACAAAAAAAAGGGCTTATTCTGGGGTCAGTAATAAACTTTACTCTCTTGATGTTGGCATACATGGCATCTTCAAGGTTGAAGATCTTGCTCTAGGAAGCAAGTTATTTGCTACCTGAATAGCCAAATATAAAAAATATGCTTCACGGTTTTAAAATATCTTACTAAATTACTAAAACACCTATAAACATAAAAAAAACCACATACCTTAAAATTTTCTTCTGTCAATCCTTCCTCAGTTTTGGCATCTCTTATCATAGCTGCAACATACCTTTTAACCAGATTTCTCATAACTTCCTAAAAATATAAAGTATTATGTTAGCTTTCTTGGTATTAGTTAGTAAACCTACACTCACAGGCTCTGCTTGGGCTTTTTCATGCTTTAGGAACATGACAGAAACTATACAAACCTGTTTGAAAATTTGTTTTGCTATTTGATGGAAACTACTAATGCTTATTATCCTGAGAAGGGATATGTTGGGTTTGACTCAAGGTATGTTTCCTGCCAGAAAGGCAGAACAATCCTTGCTCATGAGAGCAAGTCTGGTGTAGTTGTACAACTTTATTTCCAGCTATTGTCTGTCAAGCCTCCTGTGCTGTGAGATGCAGTGACTCTCTGAACAAAAATGATAGTTCTAGGTTTAATTGGCTGTGACAGGTTTTCTTACACATTTTGAACTAATGTAAACTTTCAGCATTCAAAAATCTTCTGCCAGTGAATTCCACAGTATGAAGTAAGATTCCATTTCGGGGTTTTATTTTTAACCTCCAGTCTGGTAGTTTCCACTGTTGTCTTCAAAGAATCCTAGAAATTATTTAGGTTGAAATAAATACCTGGAGGCTGTCTGAGTCATCTCAGGGCCATGCCCAGTCAAGTGCTGAATATCTCCATGGATGGAGATGCTGCAGTCTCCCTGAGCAATATTCTCCAGTTCTTTACTACCCTCACTATGAAGATAATTCTCTTCACCTTACAGAATTTCCCTTCCTTTGACTTGTGTCCATTTTGTCTTTTGCACTGTACCTCAAAATAAAATCTGGCTCCTTCTCTCTAACCACCCACTATGTTATTTAAGTCAGCAGTTATATTTCCCCATACCTACTCCAGGCTGAAATCTGAGCTGCTTATATGACAGTCCTCTAACTATCTTGGTGTCCCCTTGCTGGATCTCTTCCAGTTTGTTAACATCTCTCTTGTAGTGTGGGGCCCAGCCTACATACTGCTCTAGATACAGTCCCACAAGAGGGCTGGAGGAGAAAAATCAAAAGGCTGCCTATACAGCCTCACTAATACAGTGTAGTATTAGTGTGTGGTCTTCCATTTACAGATAAATGGCAAACTGCTGCTCTATGTTCACCTTCTTCATGATCCTATAGATCCTTGTCGTACTTCCCACATCAGCCTCTTCTTCAGTCTGGAAAAGTCCCAGCTTACCAGTTATTTCCCATATGAGATTCATTAACTACCAAGTCTACAGCTCACACCTTGTTTAACTTGTAGCCCTTTTACACGACAAAAATTCAAAATAAAGCTGAAAATTATTCATTGTGAAATAATAATCTAAAAAAAAGTAGAAGCTGAAGAAGGAAGGATGAAAAATAATTGCTTACATACAGGGGAATCTAGGCAGGGGGGTTATAGGGGTGATTAAGGAAGTTGTTTATGGGGGACTAAAGCTGGAAAGATGAAGAGCAGGTTCTGATAGAGCATGTCAGTTCACTATACATATGGTCCTGATGATTCCTGGCTGGCAGGAATTTGCATTTTTTAAAGGCAATCCATGTTACAATTTAAAATTTTAAAAATTTAATATTCAATACTAAGTTAATATTATATTTCCTTATATTAAATATAAGGCAAAATACTGGATAGCATGTTATTGCTCTAGAAAATATCCTTTGGCTCCAAAAAGAAGAAAATTGTATTCTCAAATGCTCTTTTTTTTGAACATCAAAATACTAAGCTTGTTTGCTGAAGAGGAAATAAGTACAGATTTTATGGTTTTTTCCCATTTATTTTCCTTTTCCACTTTCTCATGAAATTTTTCTGCATTTTATTTTTTCCTCATGAAGACCTTCTGGAGGCACTGAAAAACAATTGCCCAAAGAATAAACATAGGCCTGTACCTGGTATTGATGATGTCTCCTCAAATTGTCAGCTGCACGTCTCTGAAAAACAGAAAAGAATAAAAAAAAAATATTAATCCCTGTGTGGAAGTAAAACACTGAAGCATAGAAAACAGCAGGCCTGTTTCAACAGTATCTAGCAAGCGGAGAGAAAAGGTTCAAAATCTGTTGAAAAATGACTGTGTTTGAAAAAAGCCTATCATTTGCTTTATAGAAAGGGGAAGGCTGCTGTAGGGAAAGCAAAGTGGATTTTCTACATTTTTGTCAAAACGCTTTTATTCCTGCATCAGCATGCATGCAGTGGGGCAGCCAGGTCACAGGCTGCAGAGTCCCAAGGTCAACAATCTGAGATGGAAGTGGAACAATAGATCATGTCACTCACTTGCACAGACTGAAGCCTATTTTACTGAATTGAGAAAAGCTTGCCTCGCATCACGTTAGATTTTCTTGGAGGTACACAGTGAAAAAACAGGAGTCAATAGACACGAGTTACAGAAGGGAAATTCTACATGGAAAATCATCAACATGGTGGGATTCGTAAAGCCATAGTGTAAGCAAGACATTTGCTATGGCTCCTAATTTAAGGTAAAGCTAATCAAAACCTGCACTATTAAACTGTTAATGAGAAAGATCCCCCTTACTTGTCTGTTAAAAACACTTAGTCATAGAGAGGTGTATGGAAGAAAGAAACAACTTTCAACACAGTTTGGTGTTGACAAGGAGGGAGGGTAAAAGGGACAGTAACTCTGAAGAGGAGCAGCAAAAAGAAGTGTGGTAGGATGAAAGAATCGCCCAGGTTTCAAGCAGGTGTATTAAATTAAACTGCCATATCTAAGGGCTGCCCAGAAGAAGACAGGGAAAAAAGGCCAGATTTATTTTTTCCCTTGACTTCCTTTTGTCCTCAATTGCCTAATGAGTAACATATCCCCATCCTCTACAATAATTATTCCTAACTGGTGAAAGAAACACAGCTTTAACTTAGACTCTCATATCTGCTGCTGACAATAAAATAATGTGTCTGACCACTGATTGTATCTCTACAAAACAGAACACTAACAGCAGTAAAACAAGGTGAAAGGATACCCAAGGGACTTGTTAAAATTGACCACAGTTGCATAATAAGGCAGGCACAGCAAGTTATTACTTTTTTTTTTTTTTTTTTTTTTTTTTTTTACTTTAAGGAAATTATGAACCTTTCCCCTGTACCTGGAGTCAGTTTACACTTCAGAGTTGATTTCTTGTTTGAAATTAATTTAGGGATGCAGTAGCTTTTTGGCTGGGATAGCAAAAAATAAAAGAAAGGGGGGAAATAATTATTTCCTAATCAGTCTGAAGAGCCACTGTGCTGTAGGGCTTTGTACACGAGAATGCTTTCTTCAGTATTTTTCCAGATGGTGTTTCTCCATCTATGCCTCGTAAAAGAGAAAATGGCTATTTCTTGTGTTTAAGGATGGAGGGATGGGCCAGCTTGCCCATCACCAGGGCCAGAGGGAACAATGCAGCTGTGGGAAGGCTCATAACCTCACAACATCCGAATTTAGCTGGTTTTTAGAAAAAAAACCTCTCAGCTTTCTTGCAGCTGGCCACACGGTGGAGATGTTTCATTCTGCTGAGAAAGCGCTGAGGGAGTCCGTGGCTAAGAGCACTCTCAACAACAGATCTGACTCACAGGTGAAGGGAAAAACAATTTAAGGTGTAATTGAAACACAGTTCAAGTAAAGTGAATAACTACTAAGTAAAAAAACTACTGATTCTTGTCTTTCACAATACTTCCTGAAGCTGCTGTCTGCTCTGCTTTATTTTACAGTGAAATGTGAAATAAATGCATAGGTTCAATTCTGTACCTGTAACGAGAACTACCTAGATAACATTTATCCTTTTTCTTTTTTTTTGGCAGCCAATTTGGAAAGTCCCAGAAACAGAGGCTGTGGCCTTCCCCCTTAATGTAATGTAAAGGAAAACTGTATGAAAAGATTTGTGTAATAATGTGTCAGAACAGTTCTACTGCACTTAATTGTTTTCAATCCATACCATCAAGAAGCTGAAAGAAAATTTATTTAATTGTATGTTTTCATGCACATCTACATACCTAGTCCACTGGGAATTACGCCTATCAATAACCTACCAAATTTATTTTCACCAAGCAGTTCTCTATCTGGCATTTAAATGTTTAGGTTCCATCTCCAGTTCCTAATCATCTCTTGCTTCCTTTTGAAAGCAGAATGAATCTTTGCCTAAACACATCTCTAAACTAAGCTATTAACTAGAAATAAAATGTCATTAACATTCATTTTGTCCATATTTAGTTCTCAGCTGGCCTGCATTTCTCTACTCAGTTATAGTCTAATTTATGCTTCAAAATTTCTTTCAAGTAACCATTGTTCTATGTGCATAAAGAAGTTGAAAATTATGGTTAGAAAAAGGATGAAAGTTTAATTTGACTAAAAATAGTAACAGGGTGGGAAACACGGTTCTGCATGTTGAATGCATTAGTGAAATTGAGGGGGATGGTGTTGTCACTTTCCAAAAGGGGGCACTAATATGCTTTAGGAAGCTTTAATGATAGCTTCACTAGTAATGATAATTTTTCTGGTCTTCCTGTTTATGCCATTCCTAGCAATTCACACTGTTTGGAAAAAGATCTCCTTAGCAGCCAAAAATTTAATAAAATTGTATTACTTATTTTTATGTGTTTTATTAAAATTGTATCTTTTATAATGCAAGAATAGAAATCTAATTGACCTCTCCATTTGACCTTAAACTGCTTAGTGATAAAGAAAATGGAACTATTGTCTGAAGGTGGGGGATATATTTTTCATCTTGACTAGAAACAACGCCTTTAAAGGATTAGAACTTATCTGTGTTGACAGAGAGGCTTCCCCATGAAATTATTCTTGCTATACAAGGAACACTCCAGATTATTGATTTCCATGCCAGATGGAAGGCATTATTTCTTTGCTCAACTTTCAATAAACATACATTACAGAGAAAATACAAAATGCCTACATTGACTTAGAAATGGCATCATTTTCCACTAGGTGAGAAAAGAAGAGAAGGGAAAATGAGATTTTCTGTGACAAATGATAATAAAATCATGTAGGTTTCTGGGAAAATGGCATAAAATTTTGTACACCTAGAAGAAAGATATCTGTTTATCTAAACATGAGATTAAAAAAAAAAAAAATTACTGAAGCCATCCCTGGCCATACTCTCAATTTTCACTTCTGAAATACTTAAAATTATAGATAAAACACTTTTTGGTGACTGATCAGATGTAAAGTAGAATGTAATTTGAGGAAAACAGTACCATTTGTACCGGTGGGACTAGGTTTTCTTTTCCCATATATCTTTTTTTTTTTTTCTGAAATACCAATGGATTTTAGATGGCAACAGGATTAGCCCTGACACACCCATAAGCCTTGTGCAGTCAGGAAAAGCTCAGCCTAGTTAATAGAATTATATTACTAATCTGGCTTTTGCAAAGGTGAGCTAACAAAATTAATAGAACTGATACAGCTATCGATATAGATGATATAGATACATGTAAAGAGTAGCACACAAGCATGCACTTATTTCAGAATTTTAAGTGCAGGAGATAATAGCTGAAGAAAATGCTGCATACCTGGGATATGTCAAAATGACAGAATAAAAAAATGTGCTGAACTCTGAGGGGTAGAAGAGCTCTGTCTGGTTCATAGTAGAGCTGAAATATTAGTAAATCACCTGTACCATCCTGGCCTTCCTTCAGCTGAAGGTGTGTCTAGAGAAGATGCCATCAGCATGGCTGGGCACCGTGTTGCTTTGGAGAAAAAGCCTCTGCCTTGAAAAACCTCCCCTTGACTTCACCACCCACTGCTTCAAGTGTCCCACTACAACAAATGACAGAAGAACCACAGAACTGACATCCAAAGAGATGCAAATTATTGGCTTTTTTCAGAGGTACCTCACCTCGCTACTGACTGTGTTCTTGCCCGTGATAGTTTTGTTATAAACAGCAATGTAGATGATCCTCTCAAACAAAGTTCTTACTTATTTTTACTGGCATTTCTCTTCTTCCTATGGGCCAGATAAATCATTTCACTAGAATGTATGCTGTAAACTATCCTCACCCTCAACCCTTTCTTTACACATTCTGCCTGCATATACTGAACTCTCAACCGTACACATATATAAATTTTACAGTGGATTCTTGACACATTCGATTTGATCCTTGACTCAGTCCTAGTTCATGATTCCTGGCTTTTTGTTACTGAGGCCTTTTTGCAGAGATCATGCATAATCCTTGCCAGCTTCTTTCTGTCTATTATCTATTTTGTATCTTCTATCACTGACTCACTCTTTGGATGCACATTATTACTTTTTCTACTGGAAAACACCATAGTATGTCACTGCTGATTAGTGCTTCCTAATAGGAAAGTTAACATTTACAGTTTTCAGAACAGAATGTTTTGAAATCTGAGCTCTGCCTTACAGACAGTGTGGCATCCATCCATACAGCCAATATAAGAAAATCATGTTATAGCATTTTTTTACACTCCCAGACCTGGTTGTAGGGAAGGAGACAGAGTTTATAATGCAGGACTCAGTGAAAAGGAGTAGATCCCAACAATGCTTATCTTGTAGCTCAGAGGCCAAAGTTATTACAGAGCAGATACAAATGAGCTGAAGTCCTCTGAGATCCTTGAACAAAAGACAAAGAAAACTCTTCATTAACTTTTGGTTGAAAGGGCATAGAGCTCCTAAATTTAATTTGTGGTGTAGCTCATTGGGAAAATTGAAAAATTTCTAGGAAATCAAGGCTGAGCTGTGGGTGATGGCAAGTTTGTCAGAACCAGAAAGAAGTGCTCTCCCTCAGGAAAAACTATGACATCACAGTGGTATGCCCATTTGTTGACTGATGATTAACCTCTTGGAGGATGTCCAGTTAACAGCACCTACCTGGTGGCTTGCATCTATCCAATGTGGAAATCAGAACACAGAGTGCCTATATACATCTTACTCCATTTTGGAGAGTGGGTGAATAACTGGGTCTGGAAATTGCAAAATGTTCCAAATTCACATAAACCTAATGGGGCTTGTGTTATGCTCAGGAATGAGCTGAAGAACTTTGTAGTTTTATGAGATGCCCATATGGTGGACTGAATCTTCCTGGTCAGCCACAGCCACTCACTTTTTTTCAGGCAGCTGGAAGTGTGGTTGCCATGGTGGCTCTGCTGGTAAGCTCTCTGCTTCAGAGGGGTTTCAACTTTAATTCCAGCTAAGAATCTGTTCTGCAGGGGAAACCAGGGATGTATATAGCCCTACTGTCCCATGCACTTTAGGGATTCCACTTTAAAATAATTTAAAAAAATTTAAAATTATAGGAATCAACCCACTGCATGTCCTGCATCTCTCCCTCACTGATGTCCTCCATCTCAAAGAGTTCAGTAATTAGTGGTTCACATTCAAATCATAAGGAAGCTTGGTTCAGCTCCTTTTCTTCTGTTCTCCCAAGAGAGCACCTTAGCCCGTGCAGTATCTTAAAGATCTTGAGAAGGAAATTTCTGTTGTCATAGCTTTTATGCTTGAGGTAAATAATTAGATATCCACTGGAGAATAGAAGTAAGTCTGGGTCCCCTTAGCCCAAGATACTTGCTTTAAATGGCATCTGCTCCTTCCTTCTAAACAGAAATTTCATCCTGAAGTTGAAAAGTTTTCCCAACAAAAGCTTATTTGAAACTGGAATATATTAATTAAAATGTTTGGTGTTTAGAGATTTTTGGGGATTTTAACTTAAAAGCAAAAAGAAAATTCTATTTGGAAAAACACTTAAGTAGCTTGCTGCATAGACTCCCTATCCTTTGACCCTTTGCTGCACCAGTTTTCCCAAATCTAAGACATGGGTTTCTTGAAGGTGGTGTTTACCCTAGCAGGGGGTAGGTGCAAGAAGTAGACCTGATCTTTCTGAATCCCCCTCCTCATCATGCCATTCAGCATAGGGCTGGGAGCACCCCATATCGTTCTTTATTATTCCACTTGTCCAGGAATGAGTTTACTCACAAATCTGCAGTTTGAGAGGGTAAGAAAAAGGAAAAAGTATTTCCTTATCCCAGATGGAAGGCCTAACAAGAAATATTGTCCAGAAAGTTTAGCTGGGATGTATAAGGGTATTTTGTATCTGTCTCAGTCAAACAGAAATATTGTGTTAATCAACCCTCTACTATACACTGGCATAATACCATTAATTTTAATATCATCCTCTCAGTTTACACTAGCTAATCATCTCTACCAAATGTTTAACAAATGGCTAGAAGCATTGCCCACTCTCCCCCACACACAAGTACATCACTCTCTCTTGACTTTTTCTTTCTAACATCTCACAGTTTCTCCTTCTGTTGGTCTCTGCATTTACTTCTTTCATGTCCTATATTACACCAAGATGTTTTACTCTTAAGATTATTCACCATTCATGCTAGTTCATGTTCTTTTAAAAATTTGTATATGAATTATTGTTACTCTTTCTTAAGTTAATGTTTCTTTTTTCAGTGTGTTTCTTGTCATCTATTACTGGTTTGTTTCAAAGTCACCCTCATGTTTATTAGCTTTTTGCCTGGCTGTTTCTTTCCTGTATGTACAAATATGACATCAAAGTCAAATAGTTTTGCTTTCCCAATTTAGATACTGGCCAACAATATCAGTATAGTGCAATAAGCCTGATTTGAAGCTTTCTACTAAGAGGACAAAATCCATTTATCAGCATAGTAATTGTGAATTAGTTTTAGATGTCACTTTTCATCTTTACCATATATCTGTACATGCATGTGAACTTGCTCCTCCAAGTACTTCTAGAGATTAAACTGCATTCCAGGATATGACAACAGAATAGGTAGGAAAATCTTATTACTCACTTTTCAAGAAATAGGGAAGAAATACAAAGAAAAGGTTGATACCATAGTATTGGTCCATCAAAGAATTGTATCAGGCCCCCTGACTTCTTTGAAATGGATGAAAGTTTTTTTTATAAGAATCAATAGCACAAGGACCATACCCCTTTCTTTTCTCCCTTATCCACATTTGACTCCCATATTCCCACTTAATGCTTGGCCATCTGAGTTCCTAACTTGAAACATTTATATTCATGAAATTGCTATAGTATAGAGAAAATGCCACTGTCCACATCTTATCCCAAATAGTCTTCTTGTTTGAGCTGGCTAAATTCAGTCTAGTTAGTGAGGTACTGACTTTCTCATGGGAAATGAAGAAAACATAACTAGAGAGAATTAGTTGTTGGTGGGTTAGGATGTTGCCTGAATATTTGCACTGACAGTATAGAAAAAGTGTATCACTGATTGAGGTATCTCAAGCAGATAAAGTTAGGAGGGAAAAGTTCAAATCTGCTTTACTCACTGCATTTACCAGAGAAAGTAAGTAGCTGAGATATTACACAGGCATCTGCTGAATCCAGGTGCAAGACTATTCTTGTGTGTCTTTCCCCTTCTCTCTTTTTTTTTTTTTTTTTCCCTAGAAATGTCACTGCTAAACAGCAGTATCAGAATATGGTATGATTTCAGAATGGGATTCTCAAATAGCTCTACCTTTAAATTCAAGCAGACAAGTCCAAGTAAATGCTGTCGCCTTTCAAAAAATTTTTTTAATGGGAACAGCTTTTGGTAAAAATGCTTTTATGGCAAACTCATTTCATTACATGTAGAGAGACAGAGACACAGAGAATATCCCATGATGAATGCTTCATACATGAGTTTCTGGTTCATGGTATTCAATGATACCTGAACTGTGACACTTGAGCAACCAACAATTAGGAACCAACAATTCTGGCACTGACAGACAAGCATACACATTTGATTTCTTGTATTTTTATTGCTCTCAATCTTTCTTGAACTATCTGTAGATGAAGCACAGTCACAGTTCATACTATTATTGTACAGGGATATGGTGATGCTTTCTCTTCAAATACATTGACATAAAGGTAAAAAGTAAACATTTTCTGCTAGAATTATTGTCTAACTCATATGCATATTATTTGACAGGTCAGACACTCTATAAAGCTGAGAAAAGTCATCTATATAGCAAAGAGGAGGACTTCAGGCAGAGTAAACCACACAGCTTACCCCTATTGTTCCAAAACTTTCAGGCTTTCTTCTAATTTTTTTCTTGCAAAGGTGTCTCCATAACCATTTGATCAGATACCACAAAGACTTTGGGCTTGGTATGACATTAAAAGGAGTGGGCAAAGTTCCTCCTTCTTCAAAGTAACTCATCCAGAGTTTTGTACGAGCAAATTTCCACTCAATATCTGCATGATCCTGCACACAATAAACACATCATCAACACAGATATTGCTGTAATTAAGGAGGTGAAAAAAACCTTTACAAAAATCTGAAAAAACTAAAGCTAGAACAACCTTGAAATCCTAATGAATTGTCTTTTTAAAATACTGCCATCTTTTGACAGCAGGTCTTTAAGCAAAGCAAAGCAAGATGCTTTACCACAGTAAGCAGATATTCGATATGTAAAGTATATATCTACTTATAAGCACTTCTTCCCTGTTACAAGCTGTTAAATTATTGAAAGTCTCTCAAAAACCAGGAAAGGTAATTACAAGCAGAGAAATACTACAGTTCTGGAAGAAATGTTTTGTTATAATAGCAGCTCACCATTATTCCTCATAGATCAGTCTAATTATGCTGCTCTGCAGCAGCTGCAACAAGTCAGCAAGGCTCATGCATTTTTTTAGAAATTACCAGTCCCCAAAATTCACAAATAAGTATCCAACAAATCATAAGGATACTTAAACTATTGAGTCAAGTATCTTTTTTCCCCCTACTCCTTCAGAATTCTATATTAGGGATAGGTTGTGGGGTGGGTTTTTTATTTTTATTAGAAATTTCATTTTGTTTGGAACCTATATAGCATTGTATAATTCTGAAATTTTTGGGAAAATGAAAGCTAAAGACACCTAAATCCTAGCAGTTGAACAAGAATTTTCAATCACTAATAATAGATTTGGATAGTCAAGAACTTCAGCTACAGGTCTAGCCCTGGCCTTACAATAAGAAAAGAAACAATTTAGAAGTTGTAGCAGGAAAATTATACTACCTACAGCCCAAGTTTTGGTGAGTGGTACTATGTTGTGATATGGTTCACTAGACTCTGACAACTAGAGTTACACAAACACAGGTGGTCAGTTTTTCTTTTGTGGAAACACTTGTAATTGCCAGATTGAAAAAAAGGGCATATTTAAAAATCTTAAGACTGTGAAGCTTTCTTTTGTTTGCTTTCTGAATGATCATATTTGAATTATCATATGATGAATCAGTGTTTATTTCTCTTAGTCTCCTTAATAGACGGTTTACAAACTAAACTATGCCAATAGCTCTGGTAATGATAAAGAGTTTTCACTGCAGGAGGAAACAGGACACTGTTGAATGAGAAGACATGACTTTTTGTTTGAATAGCTAGTGTCCTTGGAACAAGGGCACCCAATTTCTGTTAACTGTATATCCAAGTCAGATAAAAAAAATAAAATAGCAGTCTTTCAAATGCTAATAAATATAATGTATTAAAAATGTATAAGCAACAGAACAATCCTGGGCATTATTTTTCTAAGAAGAGGTCCCGCACAGTGCAACTTGGGCAGGGCTGTAGCCCATGTCACTTGCCAGAAGCATCAGGACACCCTCTTCAACCCACCAGCTGGCTTCTTCACCCCTTCCCCACTCAGTGTTGTGAGGAAACTTCACTCTACCCAGTCCAGTTTCTTTCGGTCTGGTTTCTTTGTCCTTCCATAACAGTACAAAAGAATCAGAGTAAATTGCAATATTTGTCCCAATGTCCTGTCTGTGAAGTGTTTTACTGCCAGAAAAATTGAATGTAGGAACAGAGAGAGGGTATATATTATAAATTATCTAAAAATAAGAAACAACTTACAGCAATGAGTTGGTAAGAGTTATTCATCATGGCTATTAGCATGTTGAGTAGAACAACCAGAGATATTACATTATAGGTACCAAACATGGTGGCCCCAACAAATTCAGTGAATTCATGCCTCGCTTTCACATTGGTCACATAGAGATTGATGAGTCCAAATATAGACCAGAATAATGACTGCAGCGTTTCAAATAACCTGGAAAAAAAAAACCCAGAAGGAATAGCTGTATAATAACTACACATTTAGTTTTCAGATTGTTCAGTTGCTCCCAAAACACACAAAAGTTCTTGACTTGACTGAGATGAATGACACCTATCACAATATAGGCAACATAGAGGGTATATCTTTGCAGTGAGACAATAGACTAGTGTTTAAAATCTGGAGCTTTAGATATAGATAATACAGAATCTATAAATAAGCCTGCAAACAAAAGGTTGATTTTGCTCAAACTTCAGAGAGATAAATATAGTTTCAGAGTTCTTATGCTGGACACTTTCTTTTGAAGTACTTTGACCCTTTGCTTTAACTATAAGGGGTAGAATAAGGATCCAGAAATAACTCAAGTATGACTGCAAAAGTAATGTCTCACCAAGATTTTAAAAGTATGGTATCCTCAAATTTTGCAATTCTGGTTTGTTGACAGCCACTGACATAAAAGGAGTTGAATAATTAGAAAGAAATTATTAGCATTAGCGAATGTGTTGTTTAATGAAGAAGGGAGACACAAAAAAAGATGCTGCTCTCAAAAGAAACGTGTTTTTATACCTAAAGCATACAATATTCTCTTAGAGAAGTCTGTACAACAGCTAGGAAGCTAGTAAAAATAACAATGGCTGTAGGTAGTACATCTCTGCACCTAGATAAATAGAAAAATTTTCCCTTTTGTTCTGTGTTCAGCTACACTGTAGTGTCGTAAGAATGGTCCTGCTTAGACTGCTCCTTGAAAGTATGGAGCACATAAAGCATCACATTTTGCCATGACACCACCTTCTGACACTGGTACCAGTACTCCCCACTATTTCCCAGATGAATATTGCTTTCCTTAATACTGAGCTCTGAAACATTTTTGTGTGCTTTTCTGTTCAGATCACATAAAGTTTAGACCTGCATAGGTGTTATTAAAATACAACATAAATATGCTGTGCCTGAGAAAAGTTACTTGATTAAGGTAATATAAAGGCTGCTATTTTTGTAAAATTATTTCCTCTAAGAAGGAAACCATTGGTAATAAATATATTTTTAAAAAAATGCCTGGATACACAGAAGTTAATAAGGAATGAACATTTATAGCAGTAGTTTGATACAGGCTGAAAGGTGAAAGACAAGAAAATTAGTGTTCTTTTGGAAGTATTTTGGTATTATAAATGAACAAAAAACTATAATGAATTAAAATTGATTTCAAAATGAAAGAGAAACAGTTTATAATAGAAATTAGAAATTTGATTGTGTGCAGTAGAGTCAGTAGATTCTTAGACTGCAAGTTTTTCTTTTACAGCCTATCACATTTGCAAGGAATCTTCAAGTTTTAGAACACCACACTTATTTAATGCCCACAGCTAGGCATGGAAAAATGTAGAGTGACAGATGCCTGGATGAGCAAGGTCTGAACTGGTGACCTTATACAATTTCTAATCTCATTTATCTTCCTCTTATCTCTATTTTACCTTTTATCTTTTGAGATATCTTGAATTTTACAGACTTCACTGTGGTATGAAGTGAACATTAATAGAATGATGAAATGTTAATTTTTATAATTATTGGGGTAATATTAGATGTATTTGTCAGGACACCACTGTAATACCAGCAGAAAATGGAGGTTCTTTTCTGTAGACAGTATCTAAGTCTTAAAATATTTGAGGCGAGGGAGAGGATAGAAATAAATAGCTACTTACGTTGAAAATGCATTATTCTGCTTTTCACATCGTATTCCTTTGCAGTTGCCAGGTTCATTTGTCTCATAGTAAAAGTACAGCTGGTTCAATCCATTTGCAAAAGCAAGCAGCACAAGGCAGTATATGAAGAGAAACTTCAAAATGTCCAGCAACATTCTTCCTAGTGATATCTGCAGAGGTCCCAGGTGAGAATTTGCAGTGAATAATGAGATCAAGCGCAGGGAGCTAAAGATGTTTGCGATTGCAAACAGGGCCTCAGCCACCAGGGTTGGATGCCACATGTCCCAGCTCTCCCGTGGAACTAACCCACTATACTGAAAACAAGCAAAAGGGAAGAAATTACTCCTCTATTTTGACGCATAAACAAGCATGTCAGTTTCTTTATAAGCTGCTCAATTAATTTGCAAATATCACAATAAATTTTCACAGCAGCAAAAATATTCACAGTTTAAAAAGTCTAACACTGCAAAAGGAATAGTTTTGAGCATCTTGCTTTTTAGAATTATAGAAATTTCCAGCTGTACAAGCAGGTAAATGCAGGGCTGACAGTGATGGATAGAAACCCACAAAAGCTCTGGCAAGTCAGAAGAAAACATTCAATCACCAAGTAAATATATCAATTAATCACTAATACTGGACCAATGATGAAAAAGATGTTTATTAATGAACCATGGCAAACTGTTTATGTGTCTCATTATCAAAGAGTCTGACCCCTGAAACCACGACTTCTGTTCATGCTCTACCAAAACAAAAAAAAGATTCTTGAAGATGAAAGATACTTGAACTGAGGATTAACTACTAGCAGATTAATTATTATTTATTTGGTCTCTTTAATCTGTTTTATAGAACATATTAGAGGAGAGAATCTATCCTCTAAGAAGGGGATAATATAAATTACATTTCAAAGGGCATGTTATCTGTATTTACCTATTCTAGACCACACAGGTGCACCTTCAGAGCTGCTGGGCATGCCCTGAGCAGTAAGGAAAGGGACTTCATGTACCACTGGGGCCAGATGACACAACATAAACAGGCATCACAGCATTTCATCACACTCGCCAAATTTTATGGAGTGATTACTCTCAGTGTGGTTCAGAAACACCTGAGTAACTTAAACATACATTAATTCTGTAGGACCTGATCAGATGCATTCCAGAATCCTAAAGAAACTAACTGATATAGTTTCCAAGACACTCTCCATCATATTTGAAAAGTCCTGTCAGTCAGGTGAAGTCCCCAGTGACTGGAAAGAGGAAAACATTGCACCCATTTTTAAAAAGGAGAGAAATTAAAACCTGGGGAACAACCAAACTGCCAGCCTCCCCCCTGTGCCTGGGAAGGCCATGGAGCAGATCCTCCTAGAAGCTATGCTAAGGCACATGGAGGGCAGGGATGTGAACTGAAGCATCAGCACGATTTCAGCAAGGCAAAGTCCTTTCTGACCAACCAAGTGGTGTTCTATTATGGAGTGACTATGTCAGTGGACAAGGCAAGGGTTGCAGCTGTCATCTGTCTGGACTTGTGTAAAACTTTTGACATGGTCCCTTACAACATCCTTCTCTCTAAACTGGTGAGTGACGGATTTGATCCGTTCAGTGGATAAAAAAGTGGCTGGATGAATACATCCATAGAGAGATGTTCAACAGCTTGATGTCCAAATGGACGTCAGTGACAAATAGCATCCCTCAGGGATCTGTACAGCAACTGGGACTGTTTAACATCCTCATTAATGACATAGACAGAGGGATTGAATGCACACTCAGCATGTCTAAAGATGACACCTAGCTGAGTGGTGTGGTTGACATGCCTGAAGGACAGGATGCCATCCAGAAGGACCAAGACAAGCTCAAGAAGTGGCCCCATGGGAACACCATGGGGTTTAACAAGACTAAGTGCAAGGCACTGCATCTTGGTCAGGGCAGCTCCCAGTATCAAGACAATCTGGGGAGTGAGGAGATTGTGAGGAAATGGAGTTGAGGTACTGGTAGATGAGTGCTCACAGCCCAGAAACCCACCTGTATCCTGAGCTATACAAGAAGTGGGGCCAGAAGGCCAAGGGAGGGGTTTCTGCCCCTCTGCTCCACTCTGGTGAGACTCCACCCAGAGCGCTGTATCCAGACATGGCATCCTCTGTACAGGAAAGACATGGACTGCTGGAGCTGGTCCAGAGGTGTACAGTGAAAATGGTCACAAAGAAAAGGTGACTTTGGAGAGATCTTGTGGCCTTCCAGTACCTAAAAGGACCTCATAGCAAAGATGGAGATAGACTTTTTACTAGGGCCTGTAGCAATAGGAATAAGATAATGGTTTCAAACTGAAAAAGGGTAGATTTGGACTAGATATAAGGAAGAAATTCTGTATGATGAGGGTGGTGAAACACTGGCAGGTTTTCCAGAGAGGTGGTAGATAACCCATTCCTGGAAACATTCAAGGTCAGGCTGGATGAGGCTCTGAGCATCCTGATCCAGTTGAAGATGTCTGTGCTTATTGCAGAGGCACTGGATTACGTGATCTTTAAAGGTCCTTTTTAACCCATACCATCCTATGATTCTGTGATTCTGTGATCCAAACTGTGAAAGGGAACTAGGCATTGTTTTGGACACTAACAGTTGGCACCGGCCTCACACCAGGGTTTCTCTAACCAACCGGTATGTGTGTGAAATTGTCCCAGTGCCTGACAGCAATCCCTGACACAATGCCATTTACTCATACACAAGCAGCCATAGGTTTGTGGATTTGGAGATGTGAACTGAAAAATTGAAAAATAGCCCATTAAAAAATTAAGAATTACTCAGCCTTACATTTCATTCACCTGTGATATTTTTTCTCTACAGAGCAGTGAATTAAATCTAGACCTGCTGGAATCATAGATCAATACTCTCTTCATTAGACTATCCTCTACCTAATGATTATGCTCATCTGCCCATTCACTATGGCTCTTTAATCCAGTTCTGATTGACTCAAGATCAGTGATGAAAAACAGGCAGTAGAAAACAGAATTTACTTACTGGAGAAAACACCTAAGAGAGAAAACAAGAAGAAAATGCACAAGAAAATATTTCCAGTGTTTTTGAGAAGAGAGAGATGTAAACTCCTCAGCATGATTCCTATAACATCTGAATAATATTTTACCACACATTACTGCAAAGTCTCATGGCACTTTACAACCCTCACAGCTGAAAACTTGTACTTTTTAAATAACTAGGATTAATTGTCTGTACAAGCAAAGGTTGATACTGGACAGTGCAGTAGATACTCAGATTAGGGAAAAGTACACAAGGTGTCTTGGGGCAATAAAGTAAAATACAGAACATTCATGAAACTGGGAAGAGATGGAGTTTCTGGTAGAGGATCAAAAGCATCAAACTGCAGACATATTTTTGGTGAGGGCAAGTAGTAGCAGATTCTAGAGAAGTTACAGATGTGGGGGAGTTGGGAGAAATCTAAGGAAATACCCTTCCAAGAATTTAATGGGAACTACAGGACACTGAATAAGTACAGCACATGCTATACCAAGACACGAAAAATCAAGTTAAATAAGTCAGGTGTGGATAGCCGTATCTGCAGCACTCTGCTGCCTGCTCTACAGTCAGCAAAGAGAAATGAGAATTTCTAGAGTAGTGGGAAAGAAAATATCCTACATAGGTGAGTTGCTCTTTAACTTCCTCATTTTTTCCTCACTGATTGTTGGGGAAGGGGATAGACTGTCTTACAACTGTAGCCTGGTAAGATGTGTCCAATGTCACATTTTCTAGAAGAAATTATGTTAAGCAGAAAGGTGAGGAAAAAAGGACTTTGTCCATGATGTCCTGGATAAAGACACAAAACTGTTTTGTTTGAACAGTCAGAAAAGATAAAATGACATTTTATTTGTAAAAGGGAAATCAAAGGCACAACTGTGATATTTCAGCGTAACTGACCTTCCTTTTCTAGACCCAACTGCTTCCTGCATGTTTGGAAAGAATTCAAGAGGTGTCACCATCATAAGCAGAGAGTGATGGCTGTTATTTTAGTGTTGAAGAAACATAATTTAAAAGACTGTAAATACTTGGCAGAAAAAAGTGAGAAAGGTGAAGGCCTGAGAGATAAATTTGGAAACTGTGTGTGAAATATACTAACTGCAAGAAGACAGCAAACAATATAAAGAAAATAATGAGTATAAAGGGTCTCTAACAACAACCGCCTATTGATTACACTAACCAGAGCAGAAGTTGCTGGAAAGGAATCTAGAAATAAAAAAAAAACCTTAGAGAACAAAGCAACTTTCATGTGAAAAGGAACATAGAGAGGAGTAGCAAAAAGACTAGGTATAGACTAGGTATACTAAAACCAAGAACAGTGAAAAAGAATAAAAAATGTATCTTAGAGTCAAACCACATAGAACTGAAGTATTTCTTCTCTCACTCTGTCATGGTTTGACGCTGGCACAATGCCAGCGCCCCATGAAAATACAACCTATCAATCAAATGCTGTGAAATGCGATCGAGAACAGAGCAAAGCAGGCCAAACTTAATAACAAAGGAAAAACTTTATTACACTACTACTACTACTACTATAAAAGGAAAAGAAAGGAAAGAAAAAAACCCACACAAAATTCGAAATGAAAACCTTCCAAAACATTTCTCCTCCCACCACCCAACTCTACCAAACTACAGCGAGACCCATTTGGATTCTTAATCAAGTTTTCACCCTTTAATATAATCAATACTGAGTCTATCTGGGAAGAGAGGAGTCCCCCTTGCACCATAGACCCCCAGGAAACACAGCTGCTACTTCTTGTGTTTCTATGTTACATGTGGCACTGCCCAGACACACCGGCCAGTGTGACACTCTCCTCTCCATGTCACAGTGCTCTCACCACCGTGCATGGACAGAGAGTGCTTATAGGGCCCCTTAAAGGATGCTTTGCCAAGGACCACCATGAACAACCGTCTAGTATCGCATTTCGGGACTAGAGTCCCCCCCATTTTCCCCTGGGGCCGAGGGTCCAAGGACAGAGATTTCCTTCTCTTCTTCTCTGAAGATGGAGGGCATCCTCACACCCTCCTCAGCTCTCTCTGTCCATTTCAGAACTGGTAGTTGCTGAAGAAGGTCTCTTGGCTCATTAGTGCATCCCCCTAAAATTCAGTCCCTCTTGAAAGAAGGAGTGGTTTAGTCTATGGTAAATAAGCAGAGTCCAGCCAAAAGCTACTCCATCATCTCCCCCTAACCTTCTTCTCTGAACATCTGAGGTCCTAGGCTGTCTCTCTTTCCTTCAAATTGAGGAGGAGTAATGTTTCATAAAGCCTTTATTTCACAGGAAAGGGTTAAAATTCCCGGACTCCCTGGACAGGTGAAATCTCAGCCCAGGACTCCGTCTCCCACGCTGGGCATCTTTCCCCCCCTCCCCCCTTCTCCTTCTCCTCTGCCGGCAAACTCCCAGGTGTTCGCTGGCTCTCTATCTCTTTTCCCTCTAGCTTGGGGGGGGACGAAAACATCCCAGATGTTCTCCACCCTTCCGTCTGAAAGAGCTGGCCCAGCTCGGTTCCGATCCTTCACCCCCTGGCCTACCTCTGCAGGCCGCATGGCTCCCCTCCCCCACCCAGCCCGGGCTGGGCAGGGGAGGTCCGTACTTTGCGATGACCGGAACCAAAGAAGGACGAGTCCTCCTGGGAATTCCTCTTTTAACCCCTCTGTGTTCTCAGAGGCGTGTCCACCTTCAATTGGTCACCCCAAGTGTCAGTATCCAAACCTGACCCCTGACTGGATTGACCTCTTCCTTCCAAAAAAAAATTCTCTTCCCGTGTCAAACCATGACACACTCATGTTTGTCAAACTCTTTCTGTTCTACACAGAACAGACAATTAATATTGTTCTAAGGACAAATAAATTAATGTTGTTCTAAGGAGTGGAAAATGGTAAGAGAAAACATAGCAACACTGAGTTTGCTGTAAATCATGATGTTGATACTCTGCAGTCCTCTATGAATTTCTGTCCCCCTGGAAATGCAAACACAATCTTTTGACATGTAACAAAGCCAACCATCACAATTTACATGGCATATCAATGGAAAATTAAGAAGAGCAGAAAACAAATTGAGCAGAATATAAACAGTAGAGTTTCAAGGTAAATATATGATGCTTTTGCAATGTCCTCCAGGGAATACAAGGTAATAATCCTTGATCCTTTCTCAAAGGAATTAAAATACAAATTCAATATCTGAACCATGTGCGAGGAAAAAAAAAGCTGTGTGATCACTGTTTTCCCATTAAAACAAAAGACATGAACTCTCGATCTCTTGGAAATGCCATGAGAGATCAAACAGATATGTAGATCAGGCTACCTGAATGTTTAATGGGCTGCTGGGTCTCAGTCTAAGATCACCTCCTTGTTTCTGGTCACAAAGAGACTAGTCATATAATATCCATTTCAGGAAAAGTACTTTAAATACTTTCATGGAAAGTCATATGTAAATGTGAACTCTTCCTATTTTAAAATGTATGTACCAATCTTTGCATTCATTATGTGGAATTTCAAAGCAGCAGTAGGAAGAGGGCAGAGGGATGGCCTATCAGAGAGCTTTAGAATGGTAATTACACTGAGAAATTAAATCCATAATTTCTCAGGGGTGGAGAAGTGTTAATCTGCCTTTGTAAATGGACATTCAGTCTGTGAATCTGATAAAATACCAATCAAAACAATTTTACAATGCAAACATGTAAGAAGATGTTAGCTTCTGCAGAACTGATAGCAGGAGAAATATGTAATCTTATTTACTACTGAACAAAGTAGACCTGACACAATGATCATTAAGTGATCAAAACAGTAAATGTTGAGACAAATAATGTACTTTGGCTATTTTTCAGAGTTCTTCCCCTGAATAGGAATTTGTTTCCCTACTAGATCTTCACGTCAGTGGCTGAGGCACGTTATTGGCTATATGAATTTGTATGTGATTTTCAGCAGAATGGGAAACAAGCAGCACTAGGTCCAATGCTCAGGTTTAATAAGTATTTAAGAGAAAGCAAGTAGATTCTGCACACATGTTGGCACTGTACTTTACATATCAGAACAAAATTAATTATATTCCAAAAACATAAAAGGAACCATTTTTTCTTATTGCACAATGATTTCTACCTAAAAACCCTCCATAAAACCAAATGTGTTGCTTAAAATCTGTCATCTTGTACTTTAAAAAGTATATGAGAATTACTGCATATTATGATATTTTTATGGAGGAGAGAGCATTTTCAATGGATATACTGGATCATTTAGGAAAACCTAATATGTTGATACAGAGACAATAAACCATAAGCCATTGAAAATTATAAGATGTCCTTATTTTATTTGAATACTGGCAATGAAACCAGTTACTTTGAGTTATCTTAGCAGTTCTCTCATCCTGAAATTATATGCTTTGGTCAATTTTACATTACCCCATCAGCTACTCTAGATAATATCCATCTACTTAACTACTGCATCAGTAAGAACCTTAAATGGGAAATAAACACTATATTTTACTCTAGGAATATTTATCACACAGAAGAGTAGCATGGGAACCCTCATAACTTTATTCAAGTGAGTTGGTTAAAATGTTTTATTGGGTGGCTAGAACTGATCCATAGAAGACAGAATAAATCTAAGAACTGACCTTATATATTTGGTTCAATAAAGACAGAAGAGCTGTAACTTAGAAAAACCTGACCAACAGTGCTTAGGAAAAGAAAATTAAAGCTTTACATTAAAACATACTGATTACATTTGGCATCCTCTCAGTCTTATAGTGGCAAGGAACTCCGTTGCAGGCATTTGAAGGAATGTGGCAGGGTATTAAATCACACTTATATTTCTCTGTTCATTACTTCACATGTGTTTCAATTGACTAGCACAGCTTTTGTATGCACTGTATTCATTATGATTAAAATGTAAACACTAATTTGGAGAGTAATGGATGCACATTATCCCAGATACTGTCACCTTGGAATCTGATTACTGTAAGCAGAAGCCATCTGGGAGATGAAAGGATTATAATGTCTTCCAATCAATATATTCTGCAATTAATAATTGTATATAAAAAATATCTCCAATGCTTTGGAAACATCTATTTTAAATGAACTGTATGCTTTGTTACGAGGGACAGGGAAATGACTATTTATTTTCTAGTCACTTTATTATAAGGCATCTTTGTGAGTTAAAAGGCATTTCATTAGCTTTTAAATGACAGTTCACCACTCTTTGGAGCACCTTCCTCTTTCAGGCTCCAAATTTCTTTGAGTGAGACGACTTCCAAAGGTTTGCAGCCAGAGATCCAGCATGTCAGAAACCTTTTGTCAAAGAAGGCTGATGTGTCAACACATGACCCGGGGGTCTTTGTTCATCCCTGCTCCTGACTGGCTGACACATGGACCTTTGTGACCAGACACAAGATGATATAAATTAGAGTGCCTCAGTTCCTCTATGCCTGTGGCAGGGCTGCAGCAAGAACAGCTCCTGTTTGAGGAGAAGAAGCCATCACTGGCTACTTGACAGCTCTCTCCTTGTCCCAGTCAAAAGAATCTTGGCAGAGGAGGGACTCCCCTTCCATGGACACAGAGTAGTACTATTGCAACTATAAATTATCGCTGGTGGCAGGGAACTTGAAAAAGCTGAAGTACAATGCTGATCCCAGTGGCCAGTAAAAATGGGCTTATCTCTACTTGCATGTGGTAAGAACTCTATGACAAATGCTAAAAAATTCTTTAATTTCCTTTCATATGTCACTTCCTTGGACTTGAGACCATTTTTTTGCTCAAACTATCTCATTTTTTGAGGAATTTCTATCATATTCTGTATTTATGTAGAATACATACAAAAAGTTCACACAAAATGGTCTATGCCTTTGGAAAAAGGGGCTGTTCTCTTGGAAGATACTTAAAACTGTTGAAATATAAGACTATTCACAACAACTCCATAAAAAGAATATAAAAATGAATACACCTAGCCTCAAGTGACCATTTTATCCCATTCAGTTTTACTTTTCTATGTTGCACTTATAATAAATTTTAAAAAGAAATCAAAATCTTGCTCTTTAGTTCCCCCTACCAATTTTTACTACATATTTTGGCAGTAGACCTGTCTGAGCAGTGTGTAAAATAGACTTAGGGGAAAGAATTTGTCACTTAAAAAATCAAAGATTAACATAAAATGCAAGCATTTTACATATTACAGGTATTTTCATTTCTCAAGAATTTAACAATATGATAGTTCAGGACAAAATAAGAAAACATTGCATGGGCCAAGAAGAAAAAAGCATAAAACCCAATATTTTTTTTGCTCTTATACTTGTCTAGTTTCCTGTCATTGCTGCAGAAGATTCACAGAGCACATCATACATCTCTTGAATTACTAAGCCTCAGGACCTCCAAACACAGATGAAAGATTGAAGAAGCCTGCTTTAATTTATCTTTAAAATGTTGCTGATTTTTTTTACAGTTTACCTTTGAAAATGCAACGATTTTCAAGGAGATTGTTGCCAAGTACAGGGAGTTCATTACAAAATCCATGAGGTTCCACCAATCGTGAATGTAGTCCTGTAGTCCACCATCCCACATCTGTTTAATTTCACCCCAGATAAAACCTGTAAATAAAACATAATTCATTAGGCATGAATATTAAGTTTAAAAAGGTTGTGACTTTTCTAGACACTTAACTCATGATAGATTGATTCTCCTTAAATCTAGTGTAAAGGGAAGGTGGATAAATACTCTAATTTATACACCTAGACAGGTGAAATTTCACCTTTTCACTATTTCCAGAATTAATTTGTCACAGCCCCCCCCGCCTAAAAAAATCTTCTTCTACAAGGACAATTTCTTTGTTTTTTTTTTCAATCTCTTTCTCATTGTATCCTGATATGTATAAAAAGGGTTTTAAAATAAGTTACTGGTGTCAACCCAGTCCTTGGCAACGGATGCAATGTATTTCAGATTGGAAATTTATGACTGCAGGTCAGTCCAACACAATTTATTTTGATTGGAACTCACACAATAAGGAAGGGAATTTCTATTGTTATTGTCAATGCTGAAATAAAGTGTCTCTTTTCCATATGAAAGGGTAGTGTCTCCAGAAGAAAGTCTTTTGCTGACACCTTCCTTTGGGACATGAAGGAATTGAAACTGTTTTCAGGTGTGCAGAGCACATATTGTGCTAGACACAGTGAAACAGAAATATTCAATCCAAGTGGAAAATCTTGCAAGTTGTCTGACATGAACTTGGTTTAACAGCTTCAGAGACAACTGTGTGGACACTCTTTAATACTATAAAAATTAAAAGCACTCTGAAGAAGTTACTACACATTACAGTATAATATATTAATAAGACAGCACAGTACATCTAGATGCACATTTCACATTACTATCTACAGAGATGTTTTGATTTTTTCACAGTTAATTATTTTCTTGTAGGAATTTCTTACTTTGTGCTCATTAGAGGGGCAGAAATAATTCCAGTCTCTCACATATTGGTGTTCAGATACAGTAAATTCAACATGTCTTTTTTCCCCCTGCTCTTTTAGAAAATGATAAACAGATTTTGTGCAGGAATCTATAGAGCTCTGCATTTCCTTACTATGAGCCTAATTCACATTAAACCTTAACATTTTGTTGCAGTGGGTCTTCTGGTTGACTGGATGGAAAGCTTGTCATTTTTCTCAAACATGATCCAAATGAAGTAATCTTTGGCCTACTCTTGTTTGTGCCAGGTAGGTTTTTGAGTTATTACAATTTAATTTTGTAGTATATTGGCTTAGATTTTCTGTCTCCTGATTGCTTTCAAAAGGAAAAGTCCTCTTCCTCACTAACTTCACCCTCAAACCTCAGACACATAGTCCTGTCTTGTTTCTGTGTGTCATCACCAATAATCACAAACCTCAGGAGTATCTGAATCATCTGATTGATCCAGAAATTTTTATTTTCTTTTGTGAAAAATAAATTTTCAGCCATGCCGCCATCACCATTTCAGCATTCTGCAGACCTGGGCAAACACACTTGAGGAGGGACCTCACTGGGAACATGCAGACAGGAAAGTGGAATAGACCCATTTTACTGCCTACAACAGCCTAGACAGCCTGACTGAAACTCTATCTGTAGTGTATCAGATAAAACTAACCCTGAAAATATAGCACTATTACAAAGTAAACACTTATTTTAAAGATGCAATCAACTGCGCTGAGTAACAGCGAGAGAATAGCAGAACATGATTGCATGGCAGGGGTCAATAACTTCTAATCCTGATACACTATTGTTAGCTGCCCAAGCACCATCACAAAGGCAACACACCTTCACAAGGCTACTAGGGCAGGCTCCTACATGCCTGCCCATTTCAGCCAGTGAAATGACTTAATCACTTTTCAAAGTGATTTTCACTCGTGACATGCAGTATGAACATGGTGACAGCAGATCTGCCTCCTCCTTCTCTCCACAGTTCTCTCCAACCTTCATCACACATTCCATGAACTTGCAAATGTCCCCACTTGCTCTTCCAATACCTTTCAGGCACAACTTGCTAAGACTTAACCATCATCAGGTCATAAAAGCAACTGCTTTGTGTGTGACTATATCCCCTTCACATTTCAGATACTGCTCTGAATCACTGCTGCTCCACCTGCTTTATAACACATAAAAATGACCACTGCAGGAGAAGACCTGGCTCCAGGCTCCAAGCCAAAGTCTGTGTAATACAGATATGGCCCCTAAGTACCTTGCTCTTTTTCATTTAAGAAACTTGTACTTAGAAGTCGTAGGATCTTGACATTGGCAAGACAGCTATGGCACAGGAAGCAAACAGCTGCATTGACAGAAGATCCCCAAATAGAAAGATTTTGCAGAAATCAGTGCACACATTCATAGAATGAAATAAACTTTTTTGTGACTCATCAGAGTTAAAATACGCTTTAAAAAGACAGCAGTAATATGTTGGGATACAAAATAAGATGAATGCTTTAACAAGAGGCTTTAGGTTAATTGAAGTCTTCTGTCAAGATATTCTATGGTTCACAACCAGCCAAAGATGGGAACTGACACAGACTGCAATGGGGCTGTTCGCTGTAAGATTGTTGCTCAGTATTGTATGCTTTGACAGCACTGCCTAAAATATAATGGGATTATGTACAGATTGAAAAAGAAATGCTGACTAATGCTGCTGCACTTGATCTGTTTTATGAGTAAAAAGCCAGACTGCTTTTCCAAGCACTTCCTGGGCTTCAGAAAATGAAATGTAATTTTAAAGTTGACATTAGCAGAGAAATACTGACCTATTATAAAATAGTGGAAAAGAGTATATGGCTGTTGTAAATTTGATCATTTTGAATTAGAAACACAATTAATCCAAGCTACCAGCAATTGGGAAGTCATTTGGTAGTTGAAAGTTCAGAGTATACTTTGGGTACTTATAAAGGTGGTGGTTCTAATTTTTCTTTTGGTTCAAGACAACTTTTATGTATCCTGATACCTGTTCTTTTTAAGCAAATAGAAGTGGAAAACTGTAAATCCCATATTTTTGCTGACTCTAAGAGAGATGTGATAGTTTGCTCTTCATGTCAGCCAAAGCATCTAAGTTCAAACTCAATATATAAATACAGTAACTGAGATCCTACATCACTCCAGAGAACTTGAAGTTACGCTGATGGACAGATGGATACCATGTTTGTTAAACACACACAGCCCATATATGCACAGGAGAGCTGCCCACACATGTGTTTTTGAAAGCAAATCTTGCTACCAAGTCCTAAGGTTGATTGCTCAAATTCACAGTTCCAGGGCAACCTCACCATGAGAGCTGCGATCAGAGTCTTTGCAGCTACCAGGTCTCCATGGCTAGGGATTCTTAGCAGGGCTCATCTGGAGCAATGAATCCTGGAAGAACTGGACTCTCTAGAGTTCTGTAAATCCAAGTGTTCCTGAAGGGCTATCCTAGAAAAGTATACTCTGAAATCCCAGAGCCTTTACGCAAGGCTGAAGATGTCTCTAGGGCCTGGTGAGCTTACATGATGAAGGCAGTCTGAACAACAAACCTCAGGGATTCCCAGCTGTGCTGTTTAGGTTTAATTTAGGGCAGACAGAGGCCTTGAAATCTTTTTGTAGATCAGAACTGTATCTTTTTACAAGAAGGAAGTATCTAGGGGGAAGAAGTAAGACCACCCTTACCTCCAGAGGCTCTGACACAATATGCCAATTTTCTTCTGTTACGTTCATTGGGAGAATCAGGAAAATACTTGGGAAATCTATGGGTTTTTTATTTGTTTTGTTTTGTTTTTTTAAGAAAAATACATCCAGAGATCAGAGCAGAACTATCTCTGTGACCCCTTGCACACTTTTCTACATTGAAGATTAATGGATAGCTGGATAGTACCTGATTTCATTATGAAAGGAGGCTTTAGGGCATTTCCAGACATGACCTGACATGTAGGAGAGAAGATATGCAGTGACAAGACTGTCTAATAGAGGCACTGCTACAGGTAGGAAAGAGAGAGTCCAGGCACTGCCTGATTATTAATGTGCCAAAGGAGCAACATCTACTGCATACTGACAGAGATCATGTCAGAACTACATGTTCAGAAGCCAGAAAGCTGACAGCTCAACAAAACAGAGGGGACACTGCCAGCCTGCACACACATGTTGGGGAAAAACTGCTAAGAGAAACTAGCTAAAGACAGGGCGCAGATCTAAAAGCAAGAGCCTTTTAGGAAACCAGGCTGGGAACAAGTTGCTTGCCCAAAGCACTCTTTTAACTCCCTGGGAGGAAACAAGAATCTCCAAGGCAATAATCCTGTCAATCTGCAGGTGGGTCAGTCTTCCCACTGGCTGAAAAGGAAGCCATGGAGGATCAGGCTTAATTAAAAGAGATGCCTTTACTTCCAGATGCCTGCATTTAGCCGAAATAATTCCACTCAGAGCAGATTTCACTATTTTAGCTGGATATTCTTTGCTATACTCTGTTTGTCTCTTTGCTCTGACTATGTCTTTCCCATCTTTTCACACCAGTCAGATTTAACACTTGCCTCTTAGATCCTCACCTATCCATTCCATGCTGTTATCATTTATTGCCACTTACAAGGAAATTATAAACATTATGCATCTCTTCCACCTCATTAATCAGGGATTTTAATTAAAAAGTTGAGGATAAGACTTTCGAATACTTGCTGCATTGTTTATACCCACATATTAGAGCAGTAAAAGAGAAATAACAGCATGGATATTTTGAAACAGTCTGAGTGACAGATAAAAAATTTATAAATGCCCATGGCTTTAATGGGATGAAATAGATAAATTCAGGGCAGGAATCCCACAGACCACATAGGGTCTGGAATGACAGACACCATGGAGAAGTTTTGCAAAGCATTGCGAATTATTATACAGGCAAGCTGATCAATTGCAACCATTTGACTGAAGTCCAGTTTGCCTGAAGCAAGAAAGGAACTAAAATTGATCAGATAAAATGAATTTGGAGAAATTAAATGAATTTGTGAACTAAATATTTTTTTTGCAACAAAATTTTCTGAACATTAATGAAAAAAGTTATTTCATCTGAAATAAAGCCTACGTATTGTAAAATAAGTTTTATTCAAAGCAACAAAATGAA